GAATGCCTACACTTTTATTAAATTTTTTCAGTGTAGTAAAATATACAAAACAAATAAGAACAAAGATAGAAACTAAGAAATAGAGAAAAAGGAGAGAAAGGAGAGAAAGAAAAAAAGAAAAAAAGAAAAAAACACTTACGTTTTCTGCCCTTCTTTCTGTTAAGTAATTATCATCTTAACCTTTTCCCCAATCTCTTTGTCCCTCTTTAATCTCCAAATCCCGAAATCATCAATTCATTTTTTTCTTCTTTCAACAAAAAGTCCATATAAGGTTTCTAGTCTTTCAAACAAGTCATCAAACTGGTCACCTTCACCATTTCTGTAAGGTCAGTTAATTTTATAATCCAGTCTTCCACTGTAGGCATTTCCTTGCTTTTCCAAATTTTTGCATAGAATAATCTTGCTGCAGTTACCATATTATTTTCCCATATTTCTTTTCTAAATCCTTGCCCATAAAAATCCAGTAGGAATAATTTATGCTGGAGGAGTTTCAACACTGCCTGGCAGTATATGAATGAAGCCACAGGAACCAATGCAATTCCCTACAATATTTTGTAGGACTTAAAACAGAATACAGAGGTTTTGCTCAACCTTATTAACATTTTTGACTGGGGTAGGACTTTAAGCACAATATATTTGTTGCTGGGACTTCATGTCCCTTGATGAAAATCAGGAACCCTCATCTGTCCATCACTATTCCATCTGAACCTGCTCACGTAAGGCAAGGTTGATATTTTATTTTTGTGCACCTTGACACAATACATTATTATAGTGCTTAAAGACTGCCTTCTAAATCACAGTTTTTCAGAAAAGCACATAATTGGCAAATAACTGGTTGCCAGAAGCCAGACCACAAAAGCAAGAGTCTCTTCTCAACAATAGTGAAACTAGAAGCTCCTCTACATAAATCGCAAACAACAGAAAAAATAGCCACTGCTCTGAATTTATTAAATCTCCATTTGTCTCAGAGCAGTCTTCCATTATTTTTCTTATATTGTGAAGACAATACCATCAAACTGGGTGCCCTGTTTTAAATCA